AATCAGAGATACCGCATTTGTCAAACAACACAAAATGAACATGAATTCGATCTAAATTAAAAGTTCTGCTCCTTCTTTAGTTTTAGGAACTGTAAGTCATGTAGCTCAAGACTCTAAACTTCCTGTAATTACAAGCAGATTAGACATTTAGTAACTTTATTAAAAGCAGAAGTATATTTCATCTAAGCAAATCCAAATTAACCGAATGCACGTTTAAACTTTACCTTTCCTAATTAAGAGACTAGTAGCAAGCATGCTCACTGCAGCCAAAGGAAAAGCTGTGAAGAAGAAGAAAAGTTGCTTAAAATATGATTTTCAGTATTTTTAACCACATTTAACAAAATATGCAATAAAATGAGAGTTGCTAGGCCTTACTAAGCTCATTTGTATAAGAATAGAAATGTGTATATATGTAATTCACAAACTATATATAAATAATAAAAGAGTCTCGATTCCAGTTTTGAAGACCTACAACAAATTACACAGTTCTGGTTAATGAGTCATCCTGTCTTCATTAGACTTCCTGCTTCCGAAAATACAAAAGCCAATGGCAGATGGGATAAAGCTCGAAGGACAAGATTCTGGTTCTAGCTACAGCTGCTACAACATCAAGGTGCAGAATTTTAAACCAGAGAAGCATACACAGTCCTACAGGATGGAAGGCAGCTACACAGAAGCCAGTGCCTTTAAAAATTTTTGATAACTGGAAGTCTTTAATTTTGTTTTAACGTAAAAACTTTGGAAAACGTCTAACTCTATGAGAGATTAAATTGAATAAAATTAAATAATCTGTTTTATTCACCAACAAATTAAAGAACAGGCCAGCTTTTTATGTAGCTTATGGATCAAACGATACAACTCAGGAGTAGGGTCAGGAATGCAGTGGTGACAAACAAGGAAGCGCATTACTGGCTATTGCAATCAGCTTAACAAGTTCACTGCGGTTTTTAGGATACTGAAAGAGCTCAGGTGGCAGGAAGCATTTAAAGATGACAAAAAAATACAAGAAACATTTATTTCAAGCAATTGTAATTATGAATTGGGAAGATTAACTTTCAAACTATTCATAAAGACCACCACACCTACACAAGACACAGTGACACTGAAATAACGAACATGACAGAAGACTAAAGTTAATTACATTAAAGATTTAGATGCGTCATAATGAAATGAGATTTTAAAAAGCAAATCTGAAAATGTAGATGTTACAAAAAGGCTCAATGATTTTAACTTTACCTAGGGGAGAAATTTTTGCAACAGCACTAGATGTTTATAGTGTTTTGATGCACATAATCTGTTAATTAAGTTAATATTTGAAGATAAGTTATATTTTAAGGAATTTGGACAGCACAGTATTAAAATATACTTTGCAAACTAAGAGTTTATTCCCTCACAGATTCTGACAGGTCTAAACTAGGTTAAGAGTCCAACCAGCATGTTAGGGTAAACCTGACTGGATTGCAATACTTTAAAAGTGACGAGGGATTTGTATTGGCTCCTTGGTTCATAAGCAAGATTACAGTAACAATTCAAAACAGATAATAAAATCTTCTAATCTGTTAAAGATTAAACCCCTGATGCTTTTGGAGATTCTAGACCTAGATTTTCCACAATTTAGAGTTCTATCTTTTCTGAGATATAGAATGTCAGTGCAGATTTGAAGCTAAATTATAAGAGAAAAAAAAAAAAAAAGGTGGGGGTGGCTTTAAAAAAAATAATCAAAAATAACTTATTATAGAGGACTTCAGTCTAACCCTCAGAGGTTTGAAATGATTTATAGGCCTGACACAAATATTCTGAATATCAAAGACAGGTTATGCATTTTAGTGGAAGCAGCTGCTAGTATGTAGGCATACAAATGACCTAAAATGTTAACTAGAAATTAAAATAATAAGTAAATGAAAATTGGGTTCATACATAAAAATTAATATAATTATTCAAATGTAAAAAAAGACAAAAATAAAAGCAGCTTAATAAATCAGAAAATATCAATGCTTTGCACTGCTATGGGCAAAAAGTACTTCTGCTTCAAGAACAAAATAAATCCTAGGAAAAATAATGGAGGGTTGGTACAACAACAGCACATAATTAAGGATGGGAACGTAATGTACCCCAATCAAAATGGTGTTAGGGGAAAAAGTCATAATGATCTGATTTGATTTTGTTAGCGAGAATAAGAGTGCAAAGAATAAAACTGTAGATTGTAATGTGAATCTTTACCGTATTAGAATTTATTATATGATAATGTGATTAAAAATTAGTAATATCAGTAAAGCATATATTAAACTGATTTATGAAATAACTAGCAAGCATTTCTGACATCGAAGCAGTCAACAGAAACTACTGCAAAACAGCCAGGGTTTGTAAAAACAGGTAAAAATTGATTACAGCTTGGAATTTGAATAAACAAACTGAAAATACACAAATGTATAGTAATGCCTGTGAATAAGAAGAACTGGTGCAGTAAGAAGTGAGGATAGCAGGGCAGTCACACTGGCAGCCCATACCTCTTGCAAAGGGGCATTCAAATAATAGGTATTTCACACAGCAAATACAAGAATCTAGGTACATGTAACACAGAAAAGTGAAAAAAAAGACAGGGTAAGTAGAAAACGGTGACAGGATTTAGACTCTCCCATTGAGATAACAGCGCAATACACAACTCCTGAAAAAAGTCTCTCAATTACTGTTGTAGCTCCCTAAAGTAAAATTACTGAAGACATTAATTCGAGGCTTCTCAGCAATACCTTCATGTTGTTTCTTCAGTCTCTGTATAAAGATGCACAGGGCAGTAAGTTACACTGCCAGTGAAGAACTCACAGCAGAACAGAACAAACAACTCCCTCCCTTCTTGTCTTCCAGGAGAGAGATCATCGATAAGTCATAACCAATCACCATCCTACTGTAATGAACCTGACTCTTTTCACTTATAAAAATATAAGGGAAATAGCAAGATTTTAGCATAAAAAGCTGAAGGCTTCCAAGTCTCTGAATTAAAGTGAGAGAAGAATGCCAAAGCAGCACAGAAAGATAAAGCAGAACTTTGAATCGTTAATTCAACATCACAACGCCTTAGAAGGCGTCCCTTAAAGTACTAGCTGCCAGGAGAAACCAGAGCCCCAAGGTGCTATATTTAGCAAACCAGCTGCTAAATTCTTCATCTGTCCTGGTTTCTGCCAAGCCACCTATCAGCATCAGAAGTAATCTACTACTGTGCGATAAAACAGTTGGTAACAATCATATCAGAAGACTCGGACACTACTCTTGATCAGGAGTATAAAACACAGGTATGTCTTGAACCTTTCGATTACAGAAACAATGTTAAGAAGTAAAGCCATCAATTCTCAATGTTTTGTGAAAAAACCCCACCAACATAACCTTGATATTTCAAATTAAATCAAGATGAGACCCAAAGTATTCTGTGAAAACAATGTAAGTTTATTATTCCTGCATACTAGCTGTAGTACAGAAATCATTACTGACTGCAGAATCATGCTTGAGAATCTTGACTTCTACTTACAGATTAAAAAAAAGCCCCAAATGTCTGGCCATGCACAGACACAGAAATTTTCTCCAGAAATGGAGCTGAGCAACTAGTGATACATAGCTGTCTTCACAAATCTCCAGAAAGATGGAAAGCAGTGGTTCTAAGCTAAACTATTTTTTCCTTGCATTCTAAAGATAATAACAAAAATGGAAAGTAAAAACATAGAAATTACAAAAAGAATATTCAGATACATAAATGAGATACTCCATTAATTATATTTATATTCAGACTTCTAATAAAATATGTTGCTTCTTTTACACAACTCCTGTTCTGCAAACTCTTAATAAATGTAAATCCTACATGGATCAACATTTACTGGGATGCAATTTTAGACCATGTGAAGCTTGTTAATGAACTGCTATGATATACTGACCTGGGCCTGCCTTCCTTAATGCCTCAGCTAACAACAAAAACTAGGGGTGGGAGAAGGCAAACCAAGTTTGCCAGCAAGCTGAACTTACCTCTGTACCGGGCACTCTCTTCAGCACATTCCTTGAGGAGTCTTCTTTCCTCCTCTGTTGGCACATAAGGCTTAGGTACTTCCCTCTTTCATTAAGGAAACAGATTAGAAAAGAATGAGCAAAAGAAAGGTTTGGGGGAATTTTTTGTTTAAAAACTTCCAAGTTTCACACTTTGTAGTGCCTGCACTTTCACACAGCTATACTTAAGGAGCTGGTGCCTTCTGTCTGTAAGCATCACATGAAATATATAATTAAAAAAAAAATCCAATGCTTCTACAAATCACATCAGAGAACAGAATATATTTTGGGCACAGTCAAATCCCAACTCAGTCCACTCCTTTTTCTTCAGAAAAGCCTGCTTTTGTCCTTGCAACCTGCTTTTGTCCAAACTGACAAAACCCGACAGCTCGTCAAATCGCCCTTTTAAAACATCTGTCAGGCTTTTAACTGCACCACGCGTGTTGTGTGTTTACACGCCCACAGGCTAGCGAAACCCGGCCAGCTGTTCTGCCAGCGTGTGAGACGTTTCCATCCGCGGTGCGTGACCCTCTCCCGAGCCCAGAGGCCGCCGGTACCGGAGAGAACACGGCACCGTCCCCGCGGCTCCGCAGGCCGCCCGGGAGGGAGCTGACGGCGGGGCCCAGAGGCCGCCGGGCATCCCCCTCCCCGGCCCGCCAGCCTGCCGCCTCCCCCTCAATAGAAACGCGCCCTCCCCCGGCCCCACCGAGCAGACGCCGCCAGACCGACGGTACCTCCACCGGGTCCCCGACCTCCCCCCCGCCGCCGCCGGGGCCTTGCCCGGCCTCCATGCTGGGGCGGGGAAGGCGGCGCGAACCCCCGCGTGACCCGGAAATCGACGTGACGCCGTTCCGCCGCGGTGGCTCGGTGCGCGTGCGCGGGGGCGGCGGCGTGGAGCGCGGTGGGGCTCGGGGCTTAACCCACCCGCCTCGCCGTGGGAACTCGGCGGAGACACCCCGCGGGCGGGCCCCGGCGCTGCCCGAGCGCCGTTGCTGGTGGACTCGGGGCTGTGGCCGAGGCCCGCGTGTGCCTTTGCGTTCCGCGGCGGCGTTTCCTGGCTGGGGGAGCCGAGTGAGGGCGGTGGAAGGACCTAGAGGTAGCAGCTGGGGCTCAGAGCGTTCATTTCAGTCGAGGAGGCTTCCTTCCTGTGCTTTATCTTGTTTCCTGCCTGCTTAGAGAATGCCACTCCCTTAATGCATTTGAGTTCAGGCACTGCTTCAGATGTGGTGAATCCCTTTAAAGGTAATCCTTACACGGTTGGTTTTGTTTTGCACAGCGTTGATACATGCACCGGTGCTTCTTGGCTTTGTAACCGACTTGCTGATTTTGATAAATGGCAGCAAAAAGCTTTTATCTGTCCATGTCTGACTTGAACAGTAGGTATGTTAGCTATAGGTATGTTAACTGGGTGCTAAAGATGCGCGGCCAGAATTGACTAAAGAAAAAGGATGCCTGTTACCTAAAAACCAGAAAGGTTATTTAAATCGGAACAGAGCGAGGACCTGGCAGGCGACTGTCTGAACTTGAAAGTGGTAGAGGTTTGGTGGTTAGGATTGTATTGAAGTGGGAGATTAGGAGTCTGCCTGCGTGCTTGCCTCTAGCTAGTGCTGCTGAATGGCAGCATTAGTGGATGCTTGCAATTTATCAGAAATTAGGAAAAACTGAGGAAAAAATAAAGCCATGTTTCTGATAGTGCGATGTATGCTGGGGCATTTTCTTGTAAACATTCAGTACTGTGGCTTGAATTCACCGTATCCTGATCTGCTGCTACTTGCCTGGAATGCACCACTCCCTTTAAGCTTTTCCTGGAGCGAGTCATTGTCTCTTCACCCTGGAATTCCAGTGAAGAGGCTTAAATTGCTACTGTCTGTACAAAAAAAGCCTGTGCCTGAAGATAGGAGAGGGAAGGTTTTAGAGATTGAAAGTGTCTGAAATTAGTGGAGAATGTGAAATGTCTGAAATGAGTAGAGAATGCAACTATAAAATGAGCACTGTGAGCACGTGAAGGACCTAGGACAAATGGACTAGGAGTGTGTGTAAAGTAAGAGGTTTGGCTGCCTGGAGTGGCTGGCTGCACCAAGAAAGCTGCAGAGGAGATGGGTTTCCAACTGTTGGGTTCTTGAAATAAGCTGGGAGGATAGAACCAGAAACAGTGTATTGTGGGGTTCTTAATGCCTAGCTCTCATTTTACAATAAATACATTTCTAATTTGCACGAGATTGGAAGTAATCTGTGTTATCAGACGTCCTTCATCTCTGCCCATCACCTGGGCCCACCCTAATGAAGCACTCCCCAGTACACAGACATCAGTTACGCACATTATTAATCAGAAGACAAAAGACTTTGGCCTCACAGGCTCACAACAGTTTTATTCACGGGACTATAGCACACTAATTAAGGCAATTTATGTCCTGCTTCTTCCCACTTAGCTTTCAGTACATTCTAGGCAAATAGTACAATGGGATTTTAAAGCTTGCCTTTTTGTAGGGTAGGACATGTTTATGGACTGTACCTTCTCTGAGCATGGAGCTTCAATGGGGAGGAAATGGCTATCAGTCTCCTTCATTGAAGAAAATACTGACTCTGAGCAGTTTTGCTTCTCCATTGTAAAATTAAGTTACCCATTCTGTTTTCTCACTTCACTGGCCCCAAGTCCCTTAGATTTCCAATGGGAAAAAAAAAATTAAGATCATACAGAAAATTGGGGAGTTTGCCATGCTTTCAAAAATCTGACCTAGTACAGTCTGCTTGTGAGATACTTAAAGGAACTTGGTTACATGCATCCATTTGTTGGCTTAGAATTGCAGTTATAGGGCATATATCGGCATAGGTGGTAGAGCATGTCCACATCCTTGGCACTTTTTTCTCTGCCCTCAAGCCTTTTTTTGAAGTTCACCCATAGACAGAAATCTCAACAAGGACACTCTTTTTGACTTTTGGTCTACTTCTACCACTTGCTTTATACTCATACTGTCTTTTTTGCAACTACTGAGAACTTAGGTTTAAAATGGGTGATGCTATCACCAAGTCATTCTGATACATTACATGAAATCTTGTCCTCAGGCAAGGCTTAAGCCTAGTTTTCAACTCCATTCTGTAAATCTCATCTCTTGAATACTTTTCCCTACCTTTTCTTTTGACAGGTGCCATTACCTGATACGGTATTTCTCTTTAAAAATCAATGCAGTAGGCTAATCCTTTGGAGATGACAAGGTAACATCTTTTCTCAGGGAGTTTTGAGCTGGCTGTTTCAGTGACTTGCACAGTGACAGGTTGATGTTTTGTGTGCTTTTAAAAGTGCAATCTATAACACAGATTCTTTTTAAAGAGGAATAGCATAGTTATGTATTTTTGCACTGCTTCAGGACTCAAAAAATTATTTTTAGATATATTACAACTCACCTATAACTCTCAACTTTGTATCTTTTATGACTTAGTATGATCCAAGAATGATGAATATATTTGAGAATCAAAGTACTGTAATACTGAAACTAGGCAGTTAATCTTTAGAAATTGGAAATTATTTCTTTTGAAGGAGATGCCTCAAAAGAAGGAAAAGGGAAAACTTTCAAACAATGATTCTTTTGAAGTGAACTGATTACTTATGTAACAAGAAGTTGGAAGGTGTGAAAGTCAGATGGTTTCTAATTGCAGTGCCTGGAAAACAAAGTCACTGGTGATTATTCAGAACTCTTGGAGCTGGAGCTCAAGAATTAATAGGGTGAGTTATATGTAGACTGTCAAGTGGTTTAAAAGCTTTTCTTTTCGATAAATTCTCTTCCATCCCCTTGTTCAACAGTTAGCGGCAGGCTTTACACAGATCCACTGCAAAACAAAGAGGTGGCTTAACAAATAAATTCAGTTTTATGATATTGCATAAGACATAACTGAAACAAGTAGACATGTGAAAAAGTTGGCATATATACTGATCTTGTAAGGAAAGTTGCCAAAACAAGTACTAGAGGTTTATGTGCTCAAGTATGTAGCTGGAATGGTGATTTTTTTGTTGTTGATGTTGCTGTTGTTTTTTGCTTGGCATTCTGGACAATAGAGTAAAACACAACAGCTGAGAGCTGCTGATTCTTCAGTGGCTGCCAAGAGTTAACAGGACTGTATTTGGAAAAAATCACTCTCTCCCTAATGAGGAAATAACAGTGCTTCATACCAAAAAAGAGCATTGTTGTAACTACTACAACTGGTGGCAAACAAAGAATCAGTTATTTGCCTGAAGCATTATGGCACATCAGCAAGAACCAAGAGTGGGTGTCTCTGTGGAACTGATACTCAAAGCCTCAATTAGTAAGGACTTTACCCACGTTGATAATAATTACTATTAATAATAACTGGTACTGTAATGTGCTTTGAAAAGAGCTTTACATGTTAACTAATCCTCAGGGCTGTTTTGTAAAGCAGGCAGGTAACAAGAGAATCTGGGTTCTGAAAATGTTATGACTGTGCATCCTGTAAAGTTCAGGTGCTCAGGGCTAAATACCAATGGTCTGTTTTTCATTGGCAGCGAGGTTCAGCCGCTCTCATTTCAACTGCGTGGATACATCTGCATCTGTTGGGAAGATCAGGCTGAGTTCCTAACTTGGGATAACTTCAAAATCAGAAGCAACTTGTGACATACTTTGCTTCAACCAATTGTCTGAGATTATGCACACCACCAGTAGCAATGAATCCTGTTTTTCTGGTTAGGTGTTCCATTGCCCAACATTGAGACTGTGGTACAGTTGTTAGAGTAAAAATTACTCCATTCACTAAATTCTTAAATCTACAGGAAAGAGTTAACCTGAAACATTCTTCTCAGGTACCAGTATATCATTAGTTTTTTCCCCTCCTGCTTTCTTGTTCCTACTGTTTTTTGCAAGTTGATGTACATTATCAGCCTTAAGGGTGTGTAGCACATGGACATAAGTAGTTGAGCACGAAGTGACCTTTCACTCCAAATAAAACAGTATTGTACAAAGTGTGTAATAAGACTTCAAGCTTCTTGTAACAGATTGGCAACTGTTGTGCTAGCGCGTTTGTTGTTTGTAAAAAGCATACTTTTCACTCAGTTCTGTTTTTGTTGGGTATGCTTATTATAGTAGAGGACTTGTAAGACAGGCTTATATTTGACAGTGGAAAAATGGTGACTTCGGGATTCTTTCTAATACTGCTTCGCAGATCTGGTGTTATTTTATCATGCTTGACATGTATTTATTTTTCCTTTCCCCTTTCCCCCCCACCTTTTTTCTCTTCAAGCCTGAAAGTTCTGAGGCACTTCAACGGAAAAGTTAGTTACCTTCTAGCCACTTAAAATGTTAATGTTGGTACTGTTTCTGGTTTTACTACCATCGGCTCCCATATCTTTTCATTTTTTAGAAATACATTGTTACATTCAGCCACCAGACCTGTCGTATTCGTGAAATCCTGGCCAGCCCCAGGATCAGATGAATTTTCTCAGGATGTCGTTGTGAATTACCTCATTACCTTGCCTTTCCGTCTGTGTCACTCGTACTACGATAGACTTGCAGATTGGCGCCTGGGAGCGGGGGGAAGTACGTGCAAAGCAAAGTCAGGTTCCAGGGGGGAAAGCAGCCCCCAGTGTTTTTACCTGCGGTGCAGGGCGGGTGGCTGCGCTCGCCGCACCCAGGCTACTTCTGCGGGGGAAGCCGAGCGGTTCGCGTTGGTAGAACAACGCGAACGATTTCTGGCACAAAAAAAAAAAAAAAAAGGCGGTATCTAAGCATTTGTGAAGCTGGCCGAGACGCAAGAATTTGCCCTTATTCGCTGGGGTAGGGGGAAGGGCGTATTTTCCGTCCGTTTGCTACGGGCGAAAGCGGGGCCGGGCGGGCGCCCTCAGGGCAGGGCCACGGCGCAGCCCGCAACGCGGGACCCGACCCACCCCCCCCCGCCCTTGGGCTTGATCGCCTCAACTCCCTCGATGCCCCCCGCCACACTGCTGCCTCCCCGGAAGGCCATTTTATTCCCGGCTACCTCGGCGATACCGGCCGTCTTAACTGTTTTTTCACGACAACGGTCGGTCCTGTTCTCACCGGGGCCGCGGAGGCCGTACCTACCCCGCCGCCGTCTGAGGCCGCCCTCCCGCCGGGGGAGCCGCCGGGGGCGCCCGGGCGGGAATTTGCCCGCGGTCCCTCACCCGCCGGGCGGGGCGAACGGCGCCTCAGCGCTCCCACCCCCGGGCTGGCCGGGACGCGGGACTGACTGTCTCTTCGCCCTATCGCAACCGTAGGAAGCTGGCGGGCGCCACCAATCGGGAAGCTCGTCTTCCTCCACCTCCCCCCCCCATCTGCGGCTTTGCGATTGGGCGAGGTGTGGAGGCGGGGGCGGGGCCGAGCGCTCGAGAGCCAACGGGGAGGCGGGGGCGGGGCGGTCCCGCGTTGAGTGCTGCGCGCCTGCCCCAGTAAGCGTTGGTTCCTGGTGGGGCGGTGCGTGCCAATGGGGAGGCGCGGGGGGCGGGAGGGACGAGCCGGGCCGTCGAGTTACCGGAGGGGGAGAGGCGGCGTCGGGATAAAGCCGGTGGGGGATGCCGGCGGCGAGAGTCGCTCACCGGCCCTCGCCAGGGTCGCTCTGAAAGGGGAAGCGCGGCCGCGCTGAGGAGGCGACGCCCGGAGGAGGTGTGGGGGGGGGGGGGGGCTCTGCGACGCGAGGCAGTGCTTTCCACCGGCGGGGTAGGTGAGGCGGCGGCGGAGCTGGGACCTGGTCGAGGCTGGGGTGGGGGAGGAGCGGGGGGGCCGTCCGCTCCGACGGCAACAGAGCGGGCGGCGTGGTGTGCGTGTGGGGGCGTTGGCGGTGGTTGCCCCGCCGCTGGCCCGGTCCCCGGCCCGCGCCGCTTTGTTTACGGCAAGGCGGGGAGGGCAGCGCAGCGTGCCGCCGGGGCGGGGGGGGGGGGGGGGAACGACGACCGCGGGGAGGAGGGGTCGGTGGCGCTGGCGTGCGCTCGGCGCCTCTCGGCCGCCTTCCCCGCCGGGCCGGGGCCCCCGGCCCGCCCGCTCGGGGGAGACGGAGCCCCCCTCCGCGGCCCGCGCCCGCCCTCTTCCGCCCCTTCCTCCCCGGCCCCGCCCGAGCAGCGGGGTGCGTGCCCGGCCTCCCCCCTCCCGGCGCCCCCCGAACCCCCGGGGGCGGGCGCGGCGCTCGCACCAGCCCCCGCGGGCCGAGCGGAAAGCAGCAGCAGCAGCAGCCGCCGCCGCCGGGCTCCTCCCGCCCCACGCCCGCACCCGTCCGACTGGCTCCGGCCGTCCCCCGCGGCGCTCGGCGGCCGCCGGGCCGGCCAGCCACCCCTGCGGGGGACGGCGGGGCCGGGCGTGCGCCGGCCGGGCCGCCCGGGAATGGCGGGACGGAGCGGGGAGGGTGGCACGGAGCCGGGCTTTGTTCCCGGCCCCGCCCCGCCGCCGCCGCCGGGGGGTGCCCGGGGGCTGCGCGGGCTCGGCGGAGCGCCGGCGGAGACACGCGTGTCCCGGCTTCGGGTGGGGAAGGGCAGCGGCGCTCCCGGGTGCCTCTGCCGCCGGCCACGCTCGCTCGCCTTTCGGTCAAACTTACTTGAAAATCCCGAGCGTCCGAGTCAGATGCGAGTGTGCGCGCCCTCCGCTCGGCGTGTAGCGCTTCGCTATTGAGGAGACACTTTAAGGTCTCTCCGAACAGCGCCTGAAGTTTAGTCCTAACAGCGTCTTAAAGATTCGGTTTTACAGTCTCACGTAGACGTTACCCATGCGGCTGTGAGTATTGTCAGGGCTTAATTAGGTTTCCCTCCTCCCCTTTCATATATATATATACACACATACATACACGCTTCCAGTGGTTTTGGTTGTGATAACAGTTGTTGACTGTAACGACACTCAGCTGCTCAGTGAACGAATCAGTTTGTGTCTTAACCAGAAATCAGTGGTCAGGCAATCAGGATAGCTCCAGGTAAAATGTCCCAGGGAATCAGATGAAAAGCACACACACACACAAAAAAACCCCAAAAAACAAAACCAAACAAAAATACCCCCAAAAAACTAACCAAAATATTTTGGTGGTCACTTCTACCCAGTGGTAAGAGCAGTTTGTTATTACAGTTTTACAGAATAGTAAAGCATTCTGGAGATGAGGTAACAAGAGTTATAACCTGGACTTCCTTCAGAATGACAAATGTGCCTTAGGAAAGTGATATGTTAAAGCAGAAAGTAAGTTCTTCTTTACTTTTATGTGTACTGCACATGTCCCAAGCTCAGATTTCATGTAGTGAGAGACTTAAATGGTAAGCCACCTTCATGTAAGTGCAGACCAGGAAGAGCAAAGTGTTTGTAAGTTACTGTGGTAGTAAGCGAAGAGCTGCTCATGTGGGCAGCAACAAGTAATTTGGAGCATAGAGAGTACTGTGATAAAGAAGGGGATTTACTGATTGTGGGTTGAATGAAGAGTGAAATTAACTGTAGTTACTTAAGAAGTGTTTCCTCAGTAGACTGTTTCAGATGCTTTGCTTCTGTGTTGTTACTGTCATGCTGAGGGTATACCCTGAATACTTCAAAATCTCTGTGGAAGATTGTTGAGCAAGTGCTGGGAAACCACGCATCAATTCTTATCATGTGACACTATCTCAGGAAGGAAACAAACACCTCAGTAAAAAATGTGTTGCAGGTTTAGTAAGTCAAGTATTTGAAGATGAGTGCGACATTCTGTCTGTCAAAAGCTTCCTTTATCTGTGGTTTGTAGAGGCCCTTAGTTAGTGGTGCTTGATGGCAGTTGTCAGTAGACAACTGACTTCGCTGGGCGAATTGCTGCTGTGAATGGCTCCTTATTTATATTCCAAGATGGATTTGGTTTAAGCCTGTGCTGATTTCTCTCTGGAAGTGGTTTCCTTGGAGCACAGCAGTGGTATGTTGCTTTGGGATGTTGTAGAATATTGTTGCTGAATTTCATTTCAAAAGAAAAATTGTTTAATTCTTCTGTGGGGTTAGTTAAGGTAAAATTGAAATATTCAAGCTGGTTGTGTCTCGCTAGCCTAGGAGAACCAAAGCACGGTGAAGGCTGGTTCTCATGTAATAGCATACATGAGGAGGAGAGAAGTTGGAGGGTTGTAGGGATGTAAGGCAAAAAGTAGAACTGTTCCATTTGTTGTGTTACTTTCCAGTGTCATCCTGCTAGGCCTCAACAGCTCAAGAGTGGTCCTCATGTTTTTTTCACTGTGAGCGTTTGTCTTTTTAATTTTGGGGGATAAAATTAATTGGTATGCTGAAAGTTTTTGCTAATACAGTTGAGAACACACTGTATTTACTTTTTCTAAAGAATTTAAGAAGATTATAATTGCCACCCCACGCCCCCCCCCCCCCCCCCCCCCCAGTGGCTATGCATCAAGGAAAACAACTTGGAAAACACAGTGTTCTGCATCAGGAGTTGCCTATTTTTTATCCAGTGTTGTATTTCAAGGAGCTTTATCTTGGTCATCTTGCCTAGTGATGGCTACTTCATTATTGCACAAAGGACTAAATGACAATTATTTTTTTTTTTTGTCCGAGTTCCTTAAGAGGCATGTAGGCAAACTTTACACTTCAGTGCACTCACATAATACAGAACGTGGGCATGTAATATGCTCCCTCTGGCTTAGAGAGCTGTGAGCTTTTAGCAATTTTTGTCTATATTTAAGTCTTAGCTTAACAGAAACCATAGGTTTCATGTGCAGATAATGCAAGAGGAAGGTGCATATATGCGCGTGAGTTATGTGAGTTACTGTGAGAAAAATGAGGATAATAGTTGAAGGTTTGTGACCCCATAACTGTAGTAGGGTTGCCTTCCTAGTAGGAAACACGATGTAGCTTATCCATCAGCAGGAGGGCAGCTGGCCTAGTGCACAGCCTAGCTGTGGTTTACTGCTTTGTACCACTTCTGCACACTCACACCCAAACTACTTTAAACCTTTATGACTTCTGTATCTGTAATAATCCTCCCAGGAATGACTACAGGCCAGAGAAGTGGTGTTGAAATGTTAGAAGGTTTTAGGATTCAGTGTTATTCTTGTCCAATCTCACTCCAAATCCCAGTGAACTCCAGTTATAGATGTTAGCCAGACTGACTCAGCTAGGGTTGCTTCTGCCTTTTGTAATTGATTAAAATAACAGTTCTTCTTTCTAGTATTTAGCACGTTTATTCTCAGTGTTTGACAGTTACTTCTCTAAGTGTCTGTGTACTGCCATATAGCTCTGTCTCTTATAAGACTTGTTTTGTCCTTCCTTCCCTCCCCTCCCCCAAATCTATTATAATCCCTAATTCCCTCTGACATGAACACCTCCCAGGAAGAACGACAGAATACAGTCTCAGATAGCAAGTGTCCAATACTATCACTAGGAGATACCAGAAAGGAATAAATCCCCTCAAGCTTGTTGAACAGCAGTGTCTGCTTTTGATGTGGCTTCAGGTTTGAGGTTTTTTTTTGTGTTTATCGCTAGTTTTCCCTAGTGATTTATGTTTGCATGCAAAAATAGAAGAGGAACAAATATTTACCAAAAAAAAAAAAAAACCAAAACAACAAAACAAACAAAACAACTTCTGAAGTTGAGTTTGAAGTTCTCTGAAATGTCTAAATATTTGGTCTGATACAGTGGCCCAGTGCCCAGAAGTTGTTACTGTAAACTTTGGGGTTTTAACGGTTTCTTCTTTACATGGGTATTCTTGCCCTTGTCAGTGTGAGCAACGTGTGTTATTTTTTGCAGTTACTGATGACAGACAAAGCTGATCTGTGTGGAGTTTGCACAGATCTCCACACAGGAGTACCTTTCTTCTGCCATTCCAAATGGTGCTTTGGCAGGTGGTCTGTACAAGTGTTAGCGAACTGTAGTTTTTCAGAATGGGAGCTAGGTTAGTCTGAAATATCTGGATTTGCAGCAGTCTGTAGCAGGAGATTTGGGATTATTGACATGCAAGCTATAATGGTACTGCTCGTCACCCTGGAGGTTATTGTGGTGACTTGTTTTCTTCTTCCTGTTTTCCAGAAAATGAGAGAAGACTCCTGGCTTGGACCTTTTTCTCTCCTCTTTTGTTCTTTGATTTTTTAATCAGAGTTACATGAGATGATGATAATACTAAAACAAGCTGTCTCTGTTTTGTCCTCTAACTATTGGAAGACTGCTTCAGAATTAAATAACTGATACTTGGGAGTATTTGTAATTTTTAGGTTGTATGTTAAAGCAGCTCAG